AGTGAGGACAGGAAATGTCCTTGATGGGAACACGAGCGCACGTTGCACGTGCATCACGTGACACGTGGCTCACCGGATGTGACAAGGAAGTGCTTCGAGTGGCAGCATGGGACTCACAAACACTGACGTCACGACAAAATGGCGCAAGTGGGTTGCCCTTTCACCAGTCGCTTTGAGATTGTGGACACTGAGTGAAAGGGGCGACATTGAATGACTTTTAAATTGAATTTTTTATTCTGTCCTCATTGCTTTCTGGACCACAAGTGCTGGAGAATAAATTAGACACTCAAGAACAAATTTGTTCAGCCATTTTGAAGGCGGTAATGAATGGTTGGGGGGTAAGGGGCCCTTCTCTATGAAGTTGGCAGATCACCAGTAGGTGATGAATTGAATTTATCCATCGGTTAGGACTTGATTTCAGACATTTTGTCAGATAGTTAGGAGTCGGGAAAAGAAGTTCAACTTTGAAGCTGTTCTTTAAAACTTATATTGGTTCTCTATCTCCGAGCCAAAAAACATATAATAGTGTATTAACAGATAAAGGGTTCATTTTTCACTGAGAGACATGTAAGGTAAAAAGTGAACTCTGGTAGTTTGTATAATGCGACGTCTTGTTTAAATTTAGCAGAGAAGAGAGTGCTGGGAAAATCAATTTCCATGTACTTGTGGCATTCATTATAGGGCCAAGCGTTGATAGTGACAGCATGATGGCGTGTGTTTACTTGGAGAATCGTTGTCATTTCCATTTCGCGGAGCAATTTTTCATCTCATTAAATATCTTCGTTGTATTTGTTGTAGGTATGTTTACACACTGGGGTCAGTTTGGCCGCGTGTGGACGCAGTGACCAGGAACGCATGATTTGCACGTGCTAGTAAATATTAACAATTTACCCAGGTTCATCATAAGGTGTCAGCTGGAAGGGATGCTTCGATCGGGGGCTACTGTGGTCAGATATTGTCTGGTGCTTCGATCAGGGGCTACTGTGGCCAGGTGTGGTCTTGCATTACTGAATGTTAGCATGAAACTTCGAGCGTCACATATACTCACCTCTCAATGCCTTACGTTTCGTTTGTCGTTAACGCCACACGTATGTTAAGAAAGCATAATAATCCGATCTGTACCACACCATCCAGTAATCGATATCATGAGCACCATTATACGCAGTTCGGAAACGATGATATGCATCAAACAAGAAGTGAGTGAGTGAGAGAGTGAGTGAGTTTGATTTTACGCCGCTCTTAGCAATATTCCCGCAATATCACGGCGGGGGACACCAGAAAATATCCGGGTCTTCAGCGTGACGAGCATTTAATCACTAGGCTGCCCCATCAAGCGACTGACTGAGTTTGGTTTTACGCCGCTTTTAGCAATATTCCAGCATTTTAATCTTTGGCGTGACGAGTCAACGCTTTAACCACTAGGCTACCCCACCGCCCCTCCCCATCAAGAAAGTAAGACAACCAAAACCTATTTGTCTCCTCTTATAAGTCTGAGTTGCAGGAAATCACTTATACACATATCTCCAAAGGGTTGTTCGGCTTCTCAGCAGAGGTGCTATACGTGTAACCCTTCCCCGTGGGCCAGCCACGATAGTGCTGCTACAGATGCTATAAGCGGCTTACAAATTACATTGTTTTCGGGCTGTCATGACAGTGAGAGAATGAGTATGGTTTTACGCCGCATTTATCACCATTTCGCCAATACCTGGCGACATCAGAAATGGGCACAATTTATGTGTCAATGTGAGATTTGAACCCGGACTTTTGGCGTCATGAGTAAATGAGTGAGTGAGTTTTAGTTTTACGCCGCTTTTTGCAATATTCCAGCAATATCACGGCGGGGACACCAAAAATGGGCTTCACGTGTTGTACCCATGTAGGGAATCGAACCCAGGTCTCCGGCGTGAGGAGCGAACGCTTTAACCACTAGGCTACCCCACCGCCCCCATGAGTGAATGCTTCAACCTCTACCCCTGTAGCCTCATCCGTGACACAGGTTGTATTTTGTTGGTTGTGACACAACACTGCCGTCCTCTCTGAACTAATGTTTTGCTGGAAGGCTGGAAATGTAATATGGATTGATTTTCCAACGCGGCACGCTTCCATTCAAGAAACTTTGTGAACGAGGATACACCCAAAACGCCTCTGGAAATGCATATCATAAATATACTATATTCAAGATTTATAGAATCTTTTCTCAATAAAAAAGGAAATCGCATCTCACTCTTGTAAACATAAAATCTCCAAATCGCAACCATCGATCGAGTATAGCAGGCAAGTGTTTATCAAACATTACTACAATGCCCTTCAGTCTGGAGGCCATTCAGCCACGGAAGGGAGAATATTACCGTTAAAACAATGAAAACAACAGGTATTTGTCTACCAAACACACCATAATTGACCAGGCTCGTGATGAAATATGCACTCTGATGATCGGAATGTTTTGACGACCGCTGTCAAGTGAAGTGTAAACAAACACCTATCGTTGGGGTCAACGTGGCTCAACTCTAATGCATACTCGCGTACTTCGAACATAAGTTTAATACTGCAGAGCCAATGTAAGTTTGCACTGATGGATAACTAGCTTTCATTGTTAAGGCCACATAAACATATCCTTGTTTCTTATCACTTTTTCAACAAAATATGGGTCGGGCGGATTATGTTTACATTTCATTTTAATTTATGTCCAAGACCCCTTGATTTCCTTTTCTCCTAAAGAAAAATCAAAGTGTGAAAAATTCATGCACATTTTGAGAGTAAAAGGTGCATTTTCTCCAGAGGACGTCATAGTTTGTTTAGTCAGAAATCCATACGGTGGTTTCCTAAAAACTGTGATCCCGTTTGTTCGTCAGGTAATAGTCCGTAAATATTTGTGTCTTGACAAGAGAAAACGGCGATTGCCACCATGAGCACCGACGTAGTATGGTGACATGCAGCTAACGACGTCGCCGTTTCTGACCGTCAGATTCTTTGATGCGAAAAATAATGAAGCCCCTGGTTTTCTGAAACTACACATTATTGTATACATTATGAAGGGTTTTGCGGGCACCAAGACAACCGAGATGTCGAGTTATCAGAGTTCGACAGAACGGTGCTCGACTGTATATGATATGTCAGGCATTGCAAGGAAGAAATAGCGTGTCCCTTTCATTATTACAGACAAATCACGTGTCCAACGAATAGAGTTCGTTATATAGTATGAAAAAGCAATAATTGAACATCTGATCATGCTGGAAAATATAATCGAACTCATAAAAATTAGAAAACACTGAGAAAAAGAAAATGAAAAAAAAAAATTAGAACACACGCAAAAACCCCAAACAAATCAAATGATCGCTCCCTTCTGGACCAAATCAAATTAAGTCGGTGCGGCTGATGTTGCCTTGTGTAGAATAACAGGGTTACAATCTGCGAAAGAATGTATTTATTACAGAGGCCATGGCTTAATTATTGGTCTGATTCCTTGTGGGATTCCAGCATCTGATGAGATCTGCTTACTTTTTCTTGCTGCTTATCTTGGTGTGCAGAATTTCTGCAGGTGTTTTTCGTTAGGTTTACACACAAATTAACCAGCTGTGTGTCTCTTTCCTATCCGAGGAGGATGAAACAGGCCGTCATTCCTGTAGGGAAATGGTGTTGAGGAAGGTCAAGCGTCAAACACAGGACTGAATAATAAAAAAACGAACAAACTATTTGTGAGTGAGTTATCTTCACACTTGAAGTTAATTTTACATATATAATCTTCATTATACCTTAACCATCATTTCCCCCGTTCCCTTAATTTTCATCGCTAGTATATGTTGTCGTCGTGTGGCCTGTCAATCTTTTAGTGTACGTTACAGATATTTTTATTCAAACCAAAAATGCAAAAGACGTGCCTTTTTCTTTTTAAAATCCCAAACAAAAAAGTAAATCAGTGACTTTTTATGTGTTCACAGGAAGAGATTCTTCTTTTCTGAAAAAATAAAATAAAACCTATTTAAAAGGTTCCAATCGTTGAGCTGAAAATATTTCAATCTGTGTTCAAGGAAGTCCCTGTTGTACACGATGGATAACTGTGTCTGAGCAGGCCACGCCGGTCACGTTTTCTTTCCGTCACTGCAGTCTCCGGTGGAAACAACGACATGATGTGATTCAAGTATAAAACAAATACTAAGCCCTAGAAGAATGTTGTGCATTTATGCTGATTTATTGATTTATTGATTTATTGAGTGAGTTAGTGAGTGAAACACAAGCTATAGAAAAAAATTCAGATTACACCACACCACTTGTTGTTGGTAGGGATATTTTGAGTTCTTTTCCTATGGGGGCGGTGGGGTAGCCTAGTGGTTAAAGCGTTAGCTCGTCACGCCGGACACCCAGGTTCGATTCCCCACATGGGTACAATGTGTGAAGCCCATTTCTGGTGTTCCCCACCGTGATATTGCTGGAATATTGCTAAAAGCGTCGTAAAACTAAACCCACTGACTGTTTTCCCATGATTCGACCTGGTACGACATTTCTTCAATTGTATTTCTTCTCTTACATGTGTTTGTGGCGTTCATTTCTGAGTAATAACAAGGCAATTAGAGCTGGTATCCACTTACTTAAAATACAACAAGAAAGACCGAAAGGGGTGTTTTGTATAGACGACTTGTCATGCTATTAATCACCGGATTACCTCGATTGTATACATGGAGATACAACGACTGCACACCTATACATCATTCACTCACACAATCAGCACGTTAGGGACGTTTTGGAATTATTTGGCACACATATTTTTTATTCACACACATATCACTGATTTCAGTGATTTGATTGGTCGAGAGTTTGCGAGTTGTAGTAGGAATAGGGCCCTGAAGAAGGTCATGGCACTTCGCGCGACCTGAGTACTTCCGGTGACAAACAGCGTTCCATACCTTCTCAAATGGTCTTATGGTTGTCAGTTGACAGTAAAGAACCGATACGTCTTGCGGAAATAATTTCCTCTCAAACCGTCTCCAAATTAACCAAACATT